TTTATGTTCCGAGAACGAATACTCTGCCGATTCGAAGTCGAACTATAGTTCACTATCCGGACATTCAAGGCCTTTCTGATTTCTATTTGCTTGAAGGTGCAATACAGGACACCGCACTTTCCTCAGGAAAACCCCACCAAGCAGACGAAACGAACAGTAAACACAAGCTCATGGGACGAAATGCTACAAGAAATAGCGCTGGCGTGGAAAAGATGTCTGGCTAACTCGAATGGATTTTCGCCCGCCTTCTTGGTACAAGGTCGCGACCCTTGTCTGCCAGCAATCTTATACGACGGCTTCGGCTTCGCATCCTGACCAGTAAACTTCAGAGAAGGAAGTACTCGATATTGTCCAAGGACCAGGGGAAGCACTACAATTCGCGTTGCAGAATATGGCGGATAAGTGTAGCTACGTCGGTATCAGCTGTCTAAGGCCACCGACGGGCTCACGGCAACGCTAGCAACAAAGCTTGACGGCCCTTATCCGGCCATGAAATTCGTCCCCCAATATTGTACGCCTGACACGCGACGGCGACCAAATGAGGCTTACATCGCCCAACTGAAAGTCTACCACGGTGTGTGTGTGATTCATGGCCACAATTACAAGTGCCATAGCTATACAACCTAACAAACGCAAATGAAAAATTGAATGATTTTATTATTAATTTAATATATATAACTATTGGGTTGAATGAACGGAATTATAATTTGATGATTAAGCTTAGGAAATATATTGAAGTCTAAATAGAAAAACACAATCTTTTAAGTAACAAGACAAGAGGAGAGAAACCGATTACGATCTATATTTAATCATAGGCAACTCTGATTCCTAAAAATGTAATTAAGAGGAGCGGAGGAGCGAATAAGCATAGAGGTTCGCAAGACGGTGAAGCTGACCAGCAGCTTTAGTTTTATTCTAGCAAGCGTGAGTATCAAACACGTGAACGCTACAATAAAAAGGGAGATTAGTTATTTTTTATTAATCCTAGCCTCAAATACCGGAGCGAGCCATTGTTCAACATAATCTCTTTCCATAAACCAGCGTGGGAGGATGTGGTACGGCCCGATTGTTTAGGTGGTGCGAGTCTACGGTCTGGTAGTGTAGGTGGTGTAGTGTAGGTGAAGTAGTACGAAATATGATTTGTGGATTAAAGCCCCGCAACTATGCCCAAATAAGTGTTTTTAAAAAAAGGAGGTGCGTACAAAGTATTTTTAATCGTCATACCCTAGTGTGTATGTACCCTAATAGAGGATAAGGGAAAAATAAGTCATAATATATGGGTAAAATACGAATCTACGGTGTGTAGGAAGGGTCAGAAGCAAATATATGTAATATGCAAATATGCAAATATATGCAAATATATATATATAATAATGAAACCATGTCTTGTGCGTGTCACTTTAAGAATGTCGTCGCAAATCTTTTTTATTTCACTATCGCTCTCATATGCGTATGCTAGTGTCAGAGCGAGAGTAACAGCATCGAATGTATCGCTCTTTGAGAGAAGCCTTCGATGCGATTACAGTTATTTTTACAGTTAATGCTAAGTATATCACTGAATAATCGTGCATGCTAACTATTACTACAGGTGTCGAGCACACCTTAGCAAGTGCATTTCATACCCTGTGTATGGCGAAAAAGAATAAGACTGCAAGATAAAGGCGACGAAAATGTGTGCAAAGTGAAGCACACAAAGCGGAGAGCAGAAAGAGAACGATCGGTCCAAAAGAACAGCACGGGCGCGCCAGAAGAGCGACGACGAAACAACGCTTGCACACTTGCGCACAAACACGCACCGCAGTCGACGTCGGCGTCAAAGCAGCGGCCGTACATTGGGGCGAATGCAGGTCGCGCGCGGTGAAAAACTCAATTTGTCAGTAGAGTTGGCGGAAGCTATGACATTGAGTGCGTTTAATAATTAATAAACAGAGTGAACAATAAGAACAGACAAGGGCGAGTTAGGTGAAAGACTGCTGAAAATAGATCAAGTGTTTTTCATTGTTTGGGCGAACCCCTGCTGAACCAAGTAGTTCTCCCTACAATCCCAGGTCATCAAAATAAACAATATTGTTGGTCAGCAATTAGAGTGCTACGCTTACGACGGCTTTATGTAGAAGATTTGTTGCACAGCTCCTTGTACTACTTGGGCCACCAAGTTCGAGCCATTCACTGTCATTGATGTCATCATCGACTCGAGGTCGTCAAGACATTTTGACATTTTTGACATTCTGCACCTTACAAGCAGTCCAAGGACGTCCTTCACTTAATCGAGGGAGCAGGATATTTGCGTTGCTACGGAACTGATTTTTAACTCATCGGTTCTCTAGAGGAAGTTCCATCCTTGGCCCGCAGTCCGCACAGTCGATATTAAAAAGCTACAACATCTGTATTAAAAAAGACCTACCCAACACTATCGCATAACGAACTTAAAAATCGATAAACATCAAACAGCTGAAACTACTAACAAATGGACAAATTAAGCAGCTGGAACGACGTATTAATGAAAACAACAAAGGTGAGACTTTAATATGAATAAGCAAAAGACACTACACTTCACTGGATTTTTTCAGAACGGGTCACGGTTCCGGACCCAACGTACCCGCCCTACTTAAGATGATCACCTGATCTCATCTCCCTCATTTTTGCCCACTGGTTGGCCTACGTAAGCCTGTGTCGGCCGTCATGCCCCTCTCTGCCCATCAATAAACAATTCGCCGAGCCTTTCTCTTTTTTTTACTGTATCCGTGAAATTGGTTTTATTACTCTTATTGCTTTTGACAATAGATAATAGTTATAAAATTTTATCTTTTTACAGAATATTTTATAGCAAGTTAACGCAACCAAAAAAAATACAACGTTAAGGAAATACACCAAGACTATCGCAAGTGTGTAATTATGCTCCCTTTTCCTTCTCCCGTCGCGTAGAACATTTGGCCGTGTATAAGGCTTATCTGCTTCCCCGGGCTGGAGAATGTGGTCTACTAGTCTGGAGCCCTCGGCCCTGATCTGGGCTCTGATATTTATTTTTCTTGATTATATATATTTTTTACAAGTTTCAAAGTTATCTTATTGCTCTATTCCTATGCGCATTATTTCGTTTTTTTTTGTTTGTTCAACTTTAGGTTTCATCGTAATTTAATTTTAGTGTGCTCGACCTGACGATATAACGAATTTTATTCAAAATACTTTTGCGCAGCACTATGAAATGTTCCTTTATTTTTATTTATTTGTAATATCTTCGCCGCCTTCGCTCGGCACAATTAATTTAAATAAGATGACTGATTTTTTTTCGGCATACGGCCACCGTTGACCGTCGAGCTCCACTTAATATATTCGACACTCGCATACATGGTAAAGATGGTCACCGCTGCTGCCCATATGTGCATCTGTATTTCTGGATCAAGGAACCTCTGCTCTGCTGCTTTCCTCCTTATCTCTTTAAGAGCGAATCGGGTGGCTAATCGCAATCGCCCACTGACAAGTCTTCTGTCGTAGTGGATCGCAGTGAATCGTAGTTTGGACGCCACTGTGTCCTCGAATCCACCCCCGATACCCTGGCTACTCAACAAAAGATATTGGCATGGCCGATAATATCGAGCGTAAGCAAACAAAACATCATAAATTTTACGTTAAATTATTGTCTTGATATGCATTTTCCTACCCTAACTATAAATAATTTATTTATAAAATTTAATAATTTACTGTGCGCAACGATCTCACATAAAAAACATTAAGCAATAACGTCATATGCGCAGCAAAATGTTGCAATCTTTCTAAATTCATAGATTTCCCTTGGCTTGGCAGACACAATCATGTACACTTGCTTCAAAATATTTGTGTTGAGACATACATAGCAACAACTATTTGTCGAATAATAGTAATGGTGTATTATTTTTTTAAGGAAAACAATTATTAATAATTGTTTCAATAGTTTCACAGTCAAATAGAAGTATTTTTCTCTGACATTAAATAAAAATTGTTATATAAGAAGGTAAGTGGTCACTGGTAAAAATTACTGATCAATAGCTTAAATACTGCCGGTCCAAAAATAAAAACTATAAAAATCTGCCGGGCTGCTTGTAAGTTGAAAGCGAGCGGAGAAGAAGAAGTAGTGCTTATGAGTTAGAAGAGTGCATAGTAAGATTTTTTTGTTGTCTGTTTTTTTTTTATTCTGATTCGCTTGTTTTCTTAATTGGTTGATGTTGTTGTATTTAATAGAATATATTCTGATATTATCTTTGAATTTTGGGCAACGGCAGAAGTAGCTGTAGACAGCCGGGTGTTGTGTTTGCCACCTCTGTATCTCGCATCAAGTACATTGAAAGCGAGCTTTTGATCCAGAAGCACTCTCTATTTATTACTCAATGTAAGCTCCCAAATAATGAGAATGTGGCTGCGCCGATCTCATGAGCGGGTGGACAATCCCAATGCTCTGTCAGCATCTACCTGCTCGGCAAAGTGGATCGTGTAGGTGGCGTTCCCACCCTCTCGCTATTTAGGCACTCCTTTTTGTTTGCTAATCTACCGATACTTAAACTATATACTGAAAAATATATCGACGCTGCCGATAAAATCAAATTTTAAACACAAGTCCGTTCCTGGGTTCGTAGAACCACTAACCGAACAACCAAATGTTGTTTGGTTAGTGGTAGAACATATTATTCTGACAGTCTCGACTATCGATTGATGGTATTATAATATTTTATTGTTGACTCTTTTATTATTAAAGACATAAAAAATTGAATTAATGCTATCATAATTTGAATTTCGATAAAAAGGTCAAGTTCTGCAAGTATAAAAAAAAATGAACCTGTGTACACCCTTCTCATAAACATACTAAATTGTATATATACATATATATGTTTAATTCAGGCAACATTTCAAAACGTGGCTAGTGTCATCTTAAAAATGTATATATGGAAATATACCGCCCTGTCAATAAAGCCAAAAAGAACTAGTAGTTCGCGAATAAAACATGAGATAAGAACTAAAGAAATGAATTGTTTTAGGTGAACTGAATGTGGATTGTAAAACAATGAAAAAGTGATAAATAGTGTTTACATTTGTTTTCTAATTTGTTTTAAAGTTATAATTTAAAATATAACAAACCAGTTAAAGGTGTTCTTATTCCATCAAAAGTGTAAACAAACAAAATTACTTATAATTATGTATAATGTACCACATAAGTATCGCCAAGTTTGTCGATTGTGCCTCACTTTGGTTAATGAGCAAGATATTGCAGATCTACAAATATATAACAGTGAGAAAAGTCCCAATGAAAAACTTAACCAACATATTCATAACTTTAAAAAGTGCAATATAAATGATAATGTATCAAAATGTGTATCCAATGCCTTCGACTCAAAATCATGTTGCTGTCAATATGATAACTCGTTATCAGCAGTGGAAAGCAATAATGAAATGGGCTCATTGAATCATCTTCACAAAAGCAATTACACACCAAGTGTGCCTTCTGCCTCTGTCAACCCGCCATGCACTATAGAATCCAAAAAGTTTGATCCAATATTTTCAAATAAAAATAGTCTGCAAACTAATTTAACAACATTACACTTTCAATCAACATCAACGACACAAGACGTTGAACAACAAAAAAGAGTAACATCTAAATCAATTGGTCAAGGCGAGCATCAAATTATACATAGCCTACCCAGCATAGGATATGACACTGCTGAATCTATTCCCACAAAAAATCTATTATATGAAGTTGACGAAATTTCTTCAACACACGAGGATTACAGCCAAGAGCATAAAGATGATTCATCACCGCATATTTCAATTCAGATATTCAACTGTCTCTCTATTAAGGTAAGGTGAAGTAGTTTTTAATTCAACATACGTATGCGCATACAAATGCTTGGATATATATATATATATATATATATATATATAAGTGTATATATATTTTTATATATATAAATATATATTTATATGTATGTGAGTGTGTGTGTTCATGTGTTCTTGTTTTTTTTCCGTCATCCGTACTTGTATATACTGTGCATTATGTGTAATAACAAACTCGCTCTATTACATTTAAAAATAAGGGAAATGTCTCAAATTGTCTTTCGTTTTTGCAACGTATTAACTCAGATGAGCACATACTACTATATGCATATATGTGTATGAATACATAATTACGTACCTATTCATGTATGAATAATACGTATATGAATATGTTAATAAGTAGAAAGGTACAAACAAATATAATACGATACATTACTCTTTGAATTGTTGGAATAATAACAGTTGAAATACGTTTATGTAATCATAATAAATATATTTTTGAATATCAACTCTTTATGGGAAAACTATTGCATGTATATAAATGCAAATGATTTATTAAAATCGCAAAATAATTAAGAATTTTATTCTATCTAATTCATACCCAATTCGAATTCTTAGGTGACACAAAAATCTAGTGTATGCTTATATTTTGTTTGTAATTTATTATTTTAAAGGCATAATTTTACAATTAGTCGGTAGATAGCTTGGTATAGGCAAACAGAAAAAGCTGAAGGCAAATTGTAAGCCAACTAAAAAATATAAATATGGCTTCAAATATAAACCATTGGATTTATCTCTGATCTGTGGTGAAGGGATGAATTTAAATTTAAATAAAAGAAAATATTTTTCCAGACCCAATTTTTTTTATTGGATTTGGATGATACTGCTTTAGTAAAAGGATTCCTGCTTTCGAAATCGACATTCATTTTTTACTAAATGGAGTCGAGCACAAATGTGCTTGCTCCCCGAAGCGCTATGGAAGATACTAGAGTCGTTCCTGGATGACAGGGAGTTCGCTGTGCAGTTCAAGGAAGCTTGCTCCGGAATAGGCAAAATTCGGGATGGGTCTCTACTGGCAAAATACGCAGACTATTCTGCCACTGACCGTCTCCAGGTGTTAATAAACCAGTTCGAGTGCTAGGCCTTACGATGGAGTATCCTTAATGTCGAGAAAAGCCAGCACGAAACTGTTGCGCTGACCACGTTAACAGAGTCTGTGCTTCAGCTAGGACAAGGCCGGCCAAAATAGAATGGTTGATTTGACTATAAGGCCAGGTTTCTACTACTTTTACCGATCGGTACTAAGTCCGCATAGTTTCCAGGCGGTGTCGCATGAAACGACGGCACCCGACGTATGTCTTACTCTCGCGGCCGATCGCGAAGTGACAGACTTTTAAAGGCCTATCTGGACTCTGGAGAGTATAATGTGGATTGGAACCACCGCGCATTGTTCTTGCGATGAGATGATTTTGTAATGGGTGATGCTAGGATTTAAGCCTTTTTGAGTCCTAAGTCAAAAATGGTCGATGGTCGATGATCTCTAAGTAAAGCTCTCTCTGAGTAGGTAAGGAGATGTAGGATGCTCTTAAAACTGCTTTGCAAAATGTAATTCTTTGTCTGAAAGATTGTAGGGATCAATAAAATATCCAGGAATCCAGGATCCTTGTCAGTAAATGCATATTATATTGACAATCCCGGAAAAGTGTGGGTATACAAAAATAATCAAAAAGTGGCTCCGAGTTGGTTATATGTTGCTGATGATCTCTAATCTACAGCAGTATCTTGTACATATCAGCATTTTTCCTACGAAAGTCCTCGAAATTATCTTGTCTTACGCCTGTCCATTACAGAATACTTTGGAGGATTTCAAGGTTGGGGACTTTTCAGATTAGCCCCTGACCTATGCAACGTCGATGTCGTTTGCCAAACTTTCGCCAGCCAGAGCGTTCCTGAGGTCTCTCCCAAAGATTCCACACGCGTTCGTGAGAGGTAAATTTATAGCTGGTGATGTAGCCAGGAATCTGGGTTTTACTTGTTTGTATATTTTAATTCTAGGGTATAAAGATAGAGGTAGGAAATCACCCACCCCATGGGGTCATAACCTAAAATTGTCAGTGAGTTCTCGAAGATATCCTAAAACCAACGATTTTATTAGGGGTAGAAAGAGTTTAGGGAGAATACGATTGGGTTCGCAACTTTAACCTCATTTGGTGAAAATGCGATCCACACAAGTTCTCAGTTGAGAGATTTTTATATATTTTTGCGCTTCCATTCTATTCTTGTTTCTAAATTTTACATATTTTGCGTTTTATTTAAAAATATTTAATAACTTGTGCAAAATGCAATCTGTTGTGCAAAAACCGGGTTCAGTTCCGTGCAGTTTTTATTGTTGTCATTCGCTCCAAACAATAATTTGTGTGTTCAAATATTTTTTCAGCGATTGCTTGCTCTAATTTTGTGCGGGGGTTTTTCCCCCTGTGCCCTCGAAATTTCTGCTTCACTTTTAACGCCGGTAGAAAATATGTCTTTCTGTAAATAACCTTGTCGTTTCACATGGCTGAAGCTTCTGCTCAGCTGCAATTTGTTAATTGTTGGATGTTTTGTATATATATAATGCATGCTTAATGTGCTCACTGGGAGCGATTGCGACTAGATCGCTGTCATTGCCAAGAAGGGCTGCGGCGGTTTGCGTTGGTCGTGCAATGTATCCCAGATTGTTAAAAGTAAAACAATTTTATTTTCAGCCCCATCAGTTCCTAATTTTACTGTTGTTGCCCCTCGTAAGCATGTTTTTCTGTGTCGACTTTCGACTGACTCCACTTGTGAGTCATTGGCTATTTTACTAGTAAATATTCCGCTAGTGTGTCACTCCTAGTTAAATAGCATTATACAAAATTAATGTTTCATGTGATTCGTTCCCAATCATTTGTGATTCCTAATTTTGGCCTCCTCATAATTCAATTTCTATTCATTCTCAAAATGTCAGAGGTCTCTTTTCGAAGAATAAAATTTTTTTATGTGTAGCACTCCCTTTGATTAGGATATAATCAAATTTTCAGAAGAATGGTTAAATTCAACCATATCTGATTTTGAAGTTTTTTGAACAATTTCATTTTACATAATAATGATCGGCCGACTTAAAGTATCAATTGCCGTCAAAGCCACTATCCAGTCAGAATCATTATGTTTTACTACCCCTACTGACGCTGAGATTGTCTCAGTTAAGTTGACTTTTCCATCATGCGATATTTATATCACTTGCACCTATACCCCTCGTTCTTTTGATATTCAAGTTGATTTGAATCATATTATTTTTTATAACATCTAGTACTCTATCTTAGATGTTTGTTAACTATTTCCAATCTGTCCTAATTAGAATTCTTATCCTTATAATATTACTTTCTCTTGTTCTATGCTTGGTCCAATTATTTCCCATCCCTCTTTACTTTTAGCTATAAATTCTTTGAAATATTTTTACTCTCAATATTTATTTGTTGGCTGGCTCGAGGTCCGTGTTTGTTAAAACAAACAATGAAAAACAATTTTATTCAATTCTCTTCCGATATATTTCGGTTGCACATCGGCAAACCGTCTTCAGGGCACTAACACCAAGATACAAAAAACCAATTAACAATTATAATACAATAAATTAAACATTATTTCGAACATTTTACATACATTATTTTACACGTCTGCGCTTTTTGACGTGGAGATTGTTACTGAGGTTGTTTGACTGTTTAAGAGGTGTCTGTACAAGTGAGCGCAATTTTCTGTGTCTGTCTTGTAGTTTAGTCGTTTGTAGGTTGGTGTGTTAATTATGTGTAGCATTTCCAATGTGTGTCGCTTGTTATAGTGTTGTTCTTGTTGTAAGATTGTTGTTTCATCAAAATTTGGTGTGTGGTTGCTTCTTATACAATGGGTCATAAGTGCTGTTTTCTGTATATTATTTTGATGTCTTAGTTTGAAGTCCGATTTATGTTGACTAATCCTTGTTTTTAGCTTCGATTTTGTTGTACCTATGTAGACACTATTGCACTTGTTGTTGTTATCCCCGCCACATGGTATTTGGTAAACGACGTTGCTTTTTTCGATCATCGGGATTTTCGACTTTATCTTGTTGAAGAATTTTTGTAATGTATTCGTCGGTTTGTGTGCTACTTTTATATCTTGTTTGTTATAACAGTCTGAGTTTGTGAGGCGTTCTGATAGTCGTGGTACATATATTAGTGATTTGTATATTTTAGCAGGTTCTGTTGGCTTTTTTCTTTCGATTTGTCGTCTTTTTAATAATGTTTTGATTATATTTGGGGGGAAGTCATTTTTGGTCAAAAGTTCTTTGATTTCATGTTCAATTTCTTTGTGGTATATTGTGTCCGATATTTTCATCATTCTATTCATACAGCCTAGTGCTGTATTGATTATCATACTCTTTGGGTGGTTTGAATTGAAGTTGAGTATTCGTCCGGAGGCTATGGGTTTCCTATACCACTTTATTTTGAGTGTGTTGTCCATTCTGCTTACAATAGAGTCTAAAAATGGTAATTTCCCGTCCTTTTCTAATTCCATTGTAAATTTTATCTGTTTGTGGAAGGAATTCAATTCTTTTAGAATATTTTCCACGTCTATTTTGTTCGTTATGGCAAAAAGGTCATCTACATATTTGGTCAAGAGTCTTGGTTTTATTTTTAATTTATCTGTAATCTTGTCCAACAGTTCCTCCATTAATATATCTGCGATTACTGGGGAAGCCGGTGATCCCATTGGCATTCCCTTAAGTTGTGTGTATATTTTGTCTTCGTATTTGAAATATCTGTTTTCCTGTATGCAAAATCTAACTATGTCCATAAATAGTTGTTTCGGTATATTCGTGTGCTCTTCTAATTTGGTCCATTTTTGTCTTATTGTGTCAAGTGCTAATTCTATTGGTATGCTGGGAAATAAGGATACTACGTCAAAAGATACTAATGTTTCCTCTTCTCTAATCTGGGAGTTGTTGACTCTGTCTTTAAAATCTACCGCGTTCT